GCAGCAGCAGCAGCAGCAGCAACAACAACAACAACAACAACGACAACAACAAAAACCATAGAATCAGAAATAATCCGCAAAGCTAAGTCGGGGAATTATGTATGAAGTAATTGAACAATTAATAGAATAATTCAATTTATTTTTATTGTGACTGTAGTGTTTATACCACATTTGCACAATTTTCAATACATTACGTTAGAGGTGGGCTTTTTTAAACCCTGCCTGGCCGGGCCAATATGAGATTATAATAATGATATAGTCGCTTTTAAGCACAAGTAGGGCCAGCCACCTGTCATAAAACATGATGAATAAACAAGAAAGTAGCGCATACTTTATTCAACCAAGACGCTCTGTATGCTGTGATGTAAGGTCAGACCATAGACGTGGATTAATAATAATAATAAGAAGAAGAATAAAAATAATGATAATAACAGTAATAACAGCAATAATAATAGTACCTGATAATGTCATAGATCGTGCTCTATCATGGCCGCCACTCTGTGCTCCCATATAAAAGCTTCGCTGCAACGTGTGAGCATCATGGGCACTACGAAACACTAGTCTCTCAACAATCGCCTGTACTCGGTACTTTTCTTCCCCATTTCCCTTTATTTTGGGGGTAAATTGTGCCTTAGGCGTGTTTCATAGTGAAGCAGAACAACGTCAGAGTCTAGGGTAATATTAATAATACATTGACAGACAGACAGACAGGCAGACAGACAGACTATCAGACTGAGGTGAAATAATAATATGTGAGGCAGCGAGGTGAAATCAGGCTCACGTCAAAATAATCAAAGTGAAGAAACTGGTATTTTTCCGCAGGTTTGTGAATTTTTATCAAATTTTTGCTTTTTGGCTCAACACCTTTCATGCCCATTAAAGAACTAAATTCTGTGGATCCCCCCCCCCCCCCCCCCCCCCGAAAAACGTTGATTAAAAGCACAAAAATTGTAAACTTTCTGTTACCACAGACTCTTAAGCTAAGGAAATAACTAATCTTTGGTGGAAATTTTCTCACTAATTTTACCTCTGAAAACAGGTGACCCCCACCTCCTTCATTTGCAAAAATCTCGACTTGTATTCACGATAAATGGATATTTTTTTCATTCAAATAAGGACAAGTGAACATGCTTTAAGATGATACCATAACTTTACGTGCCCAAAAATTGACGAGATTCCACCACGCTGCCTCACATATTATAGGTCTGATCTAATAAACCGATCAAACGCTAAAGGGTGTTGGTTACAACGATTCTGTATGGCATTATCGAGCTATATTTCTAATTAAATGATTCAAAAAAATACCTCTTAAACAAAATAAATTATATAATCGAATTGTGTTGGGTTGATATAATAATATGTCAGCTTTGAAGTCCCATAATATAAATAGCCGTCTAATCATTATTTTATTGTTATTCTCATGACAGCACATTTTTGTGTTGTATCGATTTTGTTTCCTTTTGCTTGCGGATTATGTCCATGTTGGTTGTTTTTCGGTTTGATGGTTGCTTCTGTGTTTGTCTTCAATGTTGTTTTTTGTTGTTGTTGTTGTAAAGTGTTTTACGACGCTCGCAACTGCATAAGGTCATATAAGCGCGCGGGACACACCTAATATTTTCAGTTGGTAGGAAATTTTGAATTTTGTCCGGGTGGCGGCCGAAGCCTACTCTTATCGATTTTAGACCACCAAGGGATCTTTAACGTGCGCAACTTGCACACGGGCCCTCCGAGATTTTTCGCCCTTGTCCCAGAAGGCTAGGTGTAGATCTTTCCTACCAGAAGATCAGGGGTGTGGCAGAAAGATAACAGTAAGGAGGAGCCAAGGAGTAACAGTAGAAAGGCTGCAGAAAGAGTCAGAAGTCCAGATGACGAGGCAAAGGAGGTGAAAGTGGAGGCAGAAAAAGGAAGTGAAAGCAGACAACAGAACAATGCTAACGAGCAGCAATGGAGTTGAAAGAAATCAAATTTAGAGAAGAAAATTTTTCGGTCGCTACCGGGATTCGAACCCGGAACCTTTTGAATGAGAGGCCAACACCTTAACCTCTAGGCCACGAGAGCCTCCCTTCCATGTTGTTTTTGGGCTTCTTATGTTCGTTATTCTATCGAGTTT